GATTCGCCATGAAACAGGAAGTTGTTGTAACTTCAGTGTGCATGCTCAGATCTTTACCAAAATTGACAGGTTTGATGTAGGGCTGGGCAATAAAACAATAATCACAATATAATTTTCCTCAATATAACAATATATTAAATGTTCAATATATCGTCAGTTTACTTACAAATTAGCACTTATTTTTACTATTAAAATATTTATTCTGTTGAGGAAAAGGGACTGAAAAGATTTACTAATCATAATTGTTATCAAGTCCGCGAAAGTCAGCTGCTGTCATCTCGATCACACCTGAAGATATTTGTATAAGTCATATCGCCACCTACTGGCAAAAGCAAGTTTCCCTTTAACAACACAGCCCCACGCCACGTTTTACCCTGATGCAATACATTTTTATGGCACACATATTTTCCCAGGACACACAATTACATCATGGCGCGCGGGCCAGTCGCAGCTTGCAAACTGAAGCTTGCAGCTTTAATTTTATTAATATGTTCTGATTATAAAAATATAAGAGTAATGTTTATTAAGGTTATCTTAATTCTGCCTCTTAAAAGGAAGTTTTTCCTTGCCTCTGTCTCCTAGTTCTTGCTCTTGGTGGGAACTGTTGGGCTTCTGTAAATATCATCACAGAGTATCTAGACCTGCTCTTTTATGAAAAGCGCTGTGAGATAACTGTTGTCGTGATTTGGTGCTATATAAATAAAATGGAATTGAAATTAAATTCAATAGTCCCCACCAGGAGCCCCAGATTCACTGGGCAAAATGCTATTAATTGCCAAATCATCAGAGATTTTGGACCATTAATATCACCTAAGAAGGTTCCTACCCAGGGCTGCAGCTAATGACTTTTTTTTAATCATCGATCAATCTACAATTAATTTTCCAGACTGTCTATAAATATCAGAACATAGTGAAAAATATATTTCACAGTCACAAGTTTACAAAGACTAAGGTGACATCTTATTTTTTGGCGTCCAGGTCTTCGTCATCATCTGGTTCGGCTCCATCATCATCACCCTCAACTCCAAGCTGCTGGGCGGCACCATCTCCTTCTTCCAGAGCCTGTGTGTGTTGGGATACTGCATCATGCCTCTGACGGCGGCCATGGCCGTGTGCCGGATCATCCTGGTCGGCGGCTCGGGGAAGGTCAGCTTCGCCGTGCGGCTGGTGGTGGTGACGGTGTCCTTTGGCTGGTCCACCTTCGCCTCCACGGCCTTCCTCGCCGACAGCCAGCCGCCCAACCGCAAGGCGCTGGTAGTGTACCCGGTGTTCCTCTTCTACTTTGTAATCGGGTGGATGATCCTGACGTTCTCGCCGTCACAGTAGAGGAGAAGCGGATCTGAGTTTAAAGATGAGGAAGGGTATTTTTTTTTTTTTTTTCTGAGTGAAAGAACTCAAACACCGGGAGCTGCCTGTAATCGAAGACGAATGACTACTGAACTGACTGTGAGTGTTTCTGGGCCTCCGATACAGAATCCAGACTCATGAGACGCCAAAATAATCCCCAAACTAATTCCTTCAGGCGAAGCGATGGCTCGTGCTCAGATTCAGGGAAGTCCAGTCGACGCTGTGCTGCAGATGGAGAGTTGTAACGCTGATGTCTCCCAAATGTGTTTACGAGCTGTGCAGAAATAAAGTCCATAGGCCTGTATATAGAAATGCTCTATGAATGTTTAAACTACCAGGGCTTTGTTTCCTCCTCCTGGACCCTCTGGGTGTGTTTGAAACCTCATACTGTTTCGCCCTGACAGCTCACAGGTCAAACTACGTTCTTCATTTATCAGACATTTAACGGATGCCTTTTGCAGAATCCTGACGGTCGAGCTGCTGTTGAGCAACTCTGGCTGACTGGATCCTGTAGTTTTTGGCTTCAGTCGTCTCTTTTCAGTGCGTTTCTTTTAGTATTTTGGGGGACTTTTATTTTTTAATTAGTCAGATGACAGTGGAGGGATGACAGGAAAAGAGAGAAGACAGAGATCGGAAATTACACCCAACAAACGCCTCCAGCTGGACTCGAACCGGGGAACTTCTCGGTTCATGTTCTGAGAGTTAAATAAGAAAATTCACTCCACTCCCATGTCTGTATGATATACAGTCGCAGGGAAAAGCATGTGAAACCTTTGAAATTAATTAAATACAGTTGATTTCAAAGGGTTCACATACTTTTTCCTGCGACTGAAGCTGCAGACAGTTAGCTTAGCATGAAGACTGGAAAACAAACCCCACCTACCACCTTTAAAACTCACTAATTAACACGTTATATCTCGTTTGTTTAATCTGAACAAACCTTGTGTTTTCATGGGGAGTATTGCGTCATGAGAGGGGAATCTGTCCTCTCATCCAACTCTCTGGCAAGAACGTGAATAAGTGTGTTTCTCAAAGTTCTTCTTAAAAGCGTGGATAAAGTTTAAAACGCAGACATCAGATGTGAAACTTTGCTGCGTGTCTGCACAGGTGATATGTTCCCTTTTGGACACGGGCAGAAGGCGAAGTTTATGTCGAGCACTCTGGATGCAGAGACTATAATGTGGGATTATAGTTATTCTGCTTCTTCTTCGTCCAGAAGTAGAACGCCAGAGAGCGACAACCGCTGAGCTAAGATGAACTTAAACAGTGCAGCTTTTTAAGCAGATTAACTCTCAGCTGAAAATGCTGGACGAGGTTTTTTTATTTTTTGTTAGGATGTTTTTGGGATTAGAAATGCAGATTACTGACTAGAGGTTTGTGTTTGCAGCACACATCTCTGATTTCAGTGATTCAGATACAACGATTCGGTCTGATTGTCGGCTAGTTATACTCTCTAACGAAGGCATGTTGCAGTCAACGGTGTATTGCATTATGTTCAAGCGCATCTTTCCTTTGCACGTTTGTTAAATGTGACGCTTCATCTAGAGCTTCAACGATTAGTTATTTTAAAATAGTTTAATCGCTTTGAGTCATTTGTTAAAGGAAAAAACTTCAAAATTTTCTGATTCCAGCCTCTCGGATGTGACGGTTTTCTAGTTTCTTTCCTCCTCTGACAGTAAACTGAATATATTTAGGTTGTGGGGACATTTGATGATGTCACCTCGGGACTTTGGGAAACACTAATTGACATTTTTCACAATTTTCTGGAGCTAATAAACTGATTGATTCATCGAGAAAATAGTCGACAGATTAATCCGTTATGAAAATAATTTCATCCTCCCGCCTCTGCTGGTCCTTCGAGGTCAGCTTGGTGTGTCAGGCCATTACGCTGTTTGACATGAGAGAAGAAACAAACGTCTTTTGGCAGCCGAAACTGGGAGCAGCTAGAGCTAAAGAGGTCGGAGCATCCTGCTAGAAGAGAACATTTAGGAGAGGATTAAGAGAACACGGACTAACTATGTTTTTGTTTCTTTTTCCTGTCGATAACTGACCGATTGCACCAACAGCAGCAACATGTTCAGCCGTCTAAAACAGCAGCAGACAGCAGGTTTTAAATGAAAATCCCTCAGAATCAAAGAGAGATTATTTACAATGATAAACAATCGTATAGAGAGAAATGATTTCAATAGGAACAAGAAAAGGAAGGTGTGTGTGTGTGGGCGTAAAGAAGGATGGCTTTTTGTTTGTCTTCACCTACAGCTGAATTATCACACTTTCTTAGACTGTCTTCATGCCGACTTGGACACGTGTGGGGTTCAAACTGGCATTCTGGGAAATGTAGGAAACAAGTAACTGTTGTAGAGGTGGACGCAGCAGCTTGAGGAATGTCACCTTCAGTGTGAAGTTTCAGACGGGTCCAGATGACCAATGAATCTCTGTTTCTCCTTCCTGATTGTATATCTACTAACCTGCCTGACGACCTTTGACCCCTGCTCTTTAGACACACATGTTGTCAACAGATCTTCTCTATCTATAAATAATCTCCCAAATCAGCGGGGGCTGTTTCTTTGTGGTTGTTGATTTCTTTTAATTTATAAGTCTTTATTTACATCAGCAAATGAGAAAGATTAAAATATATTTGATCAGCTGTGATTCTATTTATATTTACTTCCCCTATAGCCTCAAGTCTTAAATCATTTCCATACATTATATTACCAATTTAGGGTAATTTCAATTCACAATTAACATGTAGTCAATTTTTACTTTTCCTTCGACACAAAGCGTAAAGTCTTTTTATCCATCATCACCTAATTTAAAATCTTCCATAACGTGCTATAAAGGAAAAGTTTTGACACGTTGTCAATTAACAGAATAACTGCAAGTGCAAATTTACCATTAAATATCTCACATGAAAGAGATTAAACACAAATAGAAGGTTACACTTTATTTGTACAGTAAAACCTTTCACATGTGTACACAGCACTAAGTACACGCCCTACACTGCATTTAAAGGTCTGTATTTAGCATCTACACACTAAACCTGTTAGTCTGCATTCTGTCTAACAGGCATCAACTGCTTATATGTCCAACACGTGAAAGAAAGGAAATGTATGTAAAATATACAACTATGGAAAGTAAGAAAATACAAATGTGGACTGTGTGGCTGCAGCCATTTAGATTTAGTGGTAATTGTGAGGGCGGCGAGGGACCAGTGGTTGAGACATCCACCAATGTGTCCCTGAGCAAGACACTTAACCCCTCGTTGCTCCAGAGGTGTGCGACCTATTACATAAACTGCAAATGTAAGTTGCTTTGGATAAGAGATAAGATAAGCGTCAGCTAAATTGATAAATGTAATCAACAGGACAAGAGAAAGTAAAAGACAACAGTAAAATAAATACAATAACCAAATAAGGTCAAGTCAAAAACAAAGTATCCTTCATCTGTATTGTTTGTTTTTTGTTATTAACATTAGATAATTTGTTTAAATGTAAAAGTATAATAAAAGAAAGTTTTAAAAATAAAAAATTTTAAATGTAAATAAAAAACAAGAGAAAGTTTTATAAATAATTTGTTTAAATGTAAACATAAAAAAGGACAAGAGAAAGTTTTATAAAATAATTTGTTTAAATGTAAACATAAAAAAGGACAAGAGAAAGTTTTATAAAATAATATTTGTTTAAATGTAGAAGTATAATAAATACATAAACACAATAACTAAAAGAGCCAAGTCAAATTCTAGATGTAAAGTAAAAATGTAATATATTTATTACTTTTAAATCATTTTCTATTAAATTAAATACTATAATACTAAATTAGTGAAGAATCACTTGTTGTTTTTTTCGTTGTATTCGTTGTTGTTTTTTGCGCTTTACGGTCTAAAATTCTTTGATAAAGTTATTGGCGTTTCAATAACAATTGACGTCATCAGAGTGCGACGGCTTCATAACGGGCGCAGTGTGTTTTTAAGCTAGCGGTGTCCGCGTTTCCTCTAATAACGGAGATAAATAAACGCCGTGCGGTAGTTTGGTCGCTTGAATCCCGCACAGCGGCTGCAGCTGTGGCTCTCCTGAAGGCGGTGCTTGTCTTCCTCTGATGGAGAAGCTGCTGCAACTTCCTCCAGAAGTTTGGGTCTACGTGTTCAGCTACCTGAGCACGGACGAGAAACACACCGTGCGCACCTGCTGCAGGTACCTGAAGAGGCTCATCGACCACCCGTCCCTGTGGAGGGGCGACTCGGTGCTGCTGTCCGACCTGCGCCGCTACACCTACGGCTTCTGGGACACGCTGCAGCACCGCAAGCTCACGCGGGTTGCGGTGCGGCACCTGCGGCGCAAAGAGTGGCGGCGGCTCGTCAAGTTCCTGCCCTCCCTCACCGCCATCGTGTTCGTGGACGGGGGGCGCCAGTACAAGGAGAAGTACCTGGACAACCTGTCGCGGTTCCCCGAGCTGAGGGACTTCGGGGTGCGCAACGCCACATGGGACGAGCCGATGCTGGGGCGGTGCCTGAGCGAGCAGCTGCAGGAGCGCATGACTCACCTGAGCGTGTGCAACGTGCGGCTGCCGTGCACGGTGGACTTCATCAACACCGTGTCCCACCTGGTGAACCTGCGGTACCTGCTGTTCCACCAGCAGGGGGAGGGCTACGGGCTGGACACGGTGAGGCCGGTGCCCTGCGGCGTCTTCCACGACCTGCTGCTGAAGCTGAAGAAGCTGAAGCACCTGTCCTGGGGGATGAGGGGGGAGCCGCCGGAGCCGCTGCCGGATGACTACCTGAGCCCCCCGGACCCGGAGCAGCCAGGTAAGCCAGCAACCTAGGGACACATTTGGTGGATGTGTTGGGAATCGAACCTGGGTCTCTCACTACGATGTCTCTGAGGGGCGCTCATTTGTTACCTGTGGCTCCTGGCCCCAGTTTGAGCCTCCTGTCAGGGATGCACCTAATTAATTAATCCATTAATCATGTGTCCTATCAATAATATAGAAAATTAAGTGTCAGATCTTAAAGTGACACATTTGCTTGAAAAATATCTTGAATGATTAATGATTTTTATTTTTTATTTTTTTTAAATAGATATTCTGACAATCCACTAAAACTTGATCCACTATTTGTTGCAGCTGGAGTCTCACAGATCAGACCAGTGGTCCTTCGTCTTTAGGCCCCCATTTACTTACTAAATCACATGTACTGTTAATCATCATTAATCTGTTGATTATTATAATTAATAGATTTAGGATTGGGCGAAATGACAGGAGACATCATAACTCCAAAGATTTGTGAACAATCAACCTCTTCAATAACTGTGGTTGAATTAATTAATTGTGGAAAATTGCGGCAAGTTAAGTGAACTCTTTGTGACATTATTAAACCATATTCAGAGGGTTTTAGCTTCAGATATGTTGTTCAACTGAATTTAAAAAATAAATCTATAATGATATTATCGTATTGCAGAAAGTAGAGAACCACTTTTGCCCTTTATAAACAGTTACTAATGTCTAATAAATCATTTACTAATTCTTTATAGATCACTTCTAAGCCATTAATAAGAACAACGTTTGGGTCTGCCAGGTTGTGAATAATAAAATACACATACAAAATTTATTAATCAACAACTTATTGACACTTCCAACTGAAGACTTATCATCAGAACGCTTCATTAATAACTTTTTAACATTCATAATTGCAGATTACTTGTGAGCTCTCGGTGTGTGAAACACTGAAGAGCTAAAGAGGAGGACAAACACCAACCTGGCAACCCAAAAGTTTTTTATTAACGGCTATCTATGAAGAATTTATTAACTGTTTATAAGCCGCTTATATTTGGTGACTTAATAAAAAGATTTTATTGTTTTAGTTTGTAAAAAGTCAGAAAATGTTTTGACACTCACAACTCTCTCCTCCTCCTGTAAGAGCAGCCCGGTACGGCGGCCCGGCGCTGACCACTCTAGAGCTGGTGGATTACCCAGAAACCATCCTGCCAGAGAACGCGCTGAGGAGTCTGACCTCGCTCAGGTCGCTGACCGTCCGCTACAGGTACATCAGAGAGGGCATCGAGTGTCGCCTCAAGTCCTGGCTGGATCCTCTCCAGCAGCTGGAGACGCTCGCCATCATCGGTGAGTCGGGCTGCTGCAGATGTTCCGTTGGTTTTGCCTCTGTGATCCAGCCCGGGGGTCCGGCTGTGATCCAGCAGGTCATGCGGCCGGAAAACAAAATGATGAGGTTTAATGTGCCACCAACATCTGAACCACATTCAGTCTACAGCCAACCTTTTCCAGGGAAAACGCCTAAAATAACAAATAAATCGGGAATATCTCCTCAAACATTTGGCCTAGATGCATATTTCTGGTCTCCTTTCAAAGGTCAGAAGCTAAGGAATATAAATCCATTGTACATTAACATATTTATTTTACCATTACAGACTACATGGAGATGCAATAAAGAAGAAATTGGATATTTTCATCCTCGCCTGGTAAAAAAAGCTATATTTGAATGCAAAAAACCATCATAAGGAAGATTATAATGCACCTGAATATCTCCTAATATACCTGGAATACATATTTTGGCAATAATTACTGTTTAATGTTGACTTTTATTGGGAGTTATCTTTAACTCCCAATGTTCATTGTATGTCCATACAACCATGTTCAAAATAACATTGAAATATTGATAAAAACAGTGAATATTGATCAACATTCCTGTGACGTTCCCGTACGTTCTAGTTCACCAAGACATGCTGTTGTTTTGATGTTAGTTACAGCAGCAGGAGAGACCGTCCTGTCCTCTCTGTTGAAGAGACATTGTGAGCCAGGTTCAGGTGTGATAAAGAAGTTTCTGAGACTGATGAACCCGGCACGAGGTGAACAAGAACACTTCCTGTGTGGCAATATTTATCCTTTCTAGACCTTCAGAGGTTCACTGAGAGTCTAAGTAAGGTTATTGTTCACACGTTGTGTGAAGCGTCTGTTGGCTAAAATCAAGACACGCTGTGTGTCGTTGAAGCCACATGCAACACTTTGTACATAGAGCCAGTCAGTCAGTCTGTAATGAAACAAAATAAAGATAATCTCGACCTTGGGTTACCTAACAAATGGATCCCAGTGTGCGTCCTTATCAAGACAGCTGCGTAAGTCAGTGGACCAAGCAGGCAGAGAAGAGAGGCACAGTCTGAAACCTGTGACATAGTACAAACACCTTCACACACTCTGCATGTAGCTTCAACATGTAGCAACAATTTGCAAACCCATAATTTATGTGGCGTCGTTCATTGTGTATCATGGTATTAATGGTTATTTAACAGTCTAAACCAGTGGTTTTTAACCTGGGGGTCCCAGGGGGGTAGCGAGAATAATGCTATAGACACAAAAATAGAAAACAAATAACTTAAAAACAACTAGACAGGCTGTAGTTGGGAATGGAATCACTTTGGGTGGACACTGTAAATATTCTGCACTGTTTAATCCAGCAGGTAGCGGTGATGCCAACCTCTATAAAACGACAAAGAAGAATCAGGCCCCGATCAGACAGAAAGCGCTTTGCAGGTTCGAAAAAATGCAAGGCGCACAGGGCGCATTAACAGCGCGCAGAACTGCCAAAAGAAAACAATTTTTAAAAGGCGCCTCTCACTGCAAAAAACAACATTCTGTTTGATCCCTGGGGGGTCACGAAATATCTTCAACTTCAAAAAGGGGTCAAACTGCCAGAAAGGTTAAAAACCCCTGGTCTAAACAGTACTGAACCATGAGGACAAAGATAAGAGGCTTATACGAGGCCTATTATACTGCATTTCCAGCCCTATAATGTTCTGTGACTCCTCTATGGCAGCTTTGCATGATTCAAACTGCAGTGGTCGGCAATAAGCGCAGAACTGGCCCACCAGCAATAATAATATCTGTCCCGCAGCCAGATTGCTTTGATAGCAGAAAAAATATATATATATAAATTGATAGCAGCTGATGCTGAAATAAATCTGTCATGACATCAACAGTTACTCATTTAATCACTTTCTCTTAAAGGGATTTTGATTGTGCCTCCAAAATAAAAGCGCAAGAACGTGTTTTGCAGCAATGCTTCATGTTGAGTTTATTGAGAGCTTTTACTTTGAAAAGTTCTGGAGGACATTTGAAAGACTCTGGCTTACTTGACACACCTCTGTAAAAGCCGTCAGTAAACGTATGATTGGATTCCTGAAAACTTTGACGGGAGTCCCGCACTCTACCCACTGAGCTAAACGTGCACATGAGTATCCAAGGGTTTGAAATAATGTTCTGGCCCCCCATGTAACAGCTTGAAAAACATTTGACTTATTTGCAGACCCCTGTTATACTGGCTCTTCATGCAGGCCCTCATTTCACAGCATCTGTCTTAAACAAGCTGTAGACACTCCTGTCTCTTTAAGGCCCCGCCTCTCAAAGCCCACTCTCTTCTGATTGGACATTTTCTTATGTGTTTACCAGGCTGCCGCAGGGATAGGACTGCATGTTTCTTTTGTGGGCGTGGCCAGCATTCTCTGCCTGGAGCAAATGACCATATATGGAAATCCGCCTCGGAATGACATCATACCGAGCCGTTAGTATAAACAACAGTTTAAAACCGAGCGTTCAGAACAGGCGGATATCTGAGGTTTGGGCTCACCGGCATTTCTTTTAAATGCTTTGACCTCGTTATTTGAAGCTTTGGTCTTGTCTAACATGAACACCTGACATTGTGACATTACAGATATGCCAGAAAATATGAAAAAGCACAATAGGTCCCCTTAAATGTGACCCTTTCTTCCAGGTGGTAATTCTCTCGCTGCCTACACAACCACCATCCCCTCCAGCGTGACCAGGCTGACCCTGCGTGTTGCCATAACTCTGAAGGACATGGACTCCATCGCCCCTAAAGTCCCGGCACTCGAGCACCTCGACATCGAGCAGAACCGCTCCAGCGGCAGCCTCTGCAGACGGATCCCCATGTTGTTCCCTCAGCTCAGGACGCTCCGGATACGGTGAGCCACGCAGGAAGTTGTTCCAGGTTTGCGGCGAGGTTCCAGAGACTTGGGTCACAGCAACCACTGAGATCTGAGGAACATGTTTTCTGTTGTTACTGGATGATGTTCTCGTGTCTTAGATTAGAAAGCTTTATTAATCCTTAGTGGGGAAACTGAGTTGCCACCAGATCACATCAAACAGCACTCAACATAAACAGAAAAGACAACTAGTATGTTTGTCGATACACCCATTAAAGCCGTTTATGGACAATACGTGTTATTTAATGCCAACGGAGCTCTGCATGAAAATAAATACATTTAAATAATTTTGAAGCTTTCTGTGTTTATCCGATGAATTAATTTACCATGTTTTGGTTTGATTTCTTGGCTATGTTGCTTTTTTGAACCTCGGTTGTAGCAGACATGATGTTTGCTTCTACACCACTGTTGAAAAGGGATATATATTTAGACACTGTGATGATGCGATATAATGCGGGGAACCAAATGATGGTGACAGCATTACAGCGTGGCTATTTTAATTAATCCAACTGTCTCCTTTACGATTTTCTTCCGTTTAACTCGCAGAATTGCTGTGATTGTGTGTTTGATTCTGAGCCCTGCCAAAAACCAGGGTGACCTACACTCAGTACTGTCCCTGAAGGCACCTTGTGTAGACACACACAGAGCACTGAAGCTGCTGCTGCTGCTAGGAGTTTTGTTGTTCAAGAAGTTATAAATAGAAGCTCACTAGAGCTAAAACAACTAGCTTATAAATATATTAGCCAATTAAGAGAAAATTATCAGCAAAAACTTTTATTTGAAGTCACTAGTTTTGGTTCCAGTTTCAAAACTTAAATATTTCTTTTATCAATATTTTAAATATCTTTAATCTAAATGTTTTTTTGTAGCTCAGACCAAAAAACAACAGTTGAAAACAAACCACGGGCTCTAGGAACTTGTGATTTTAACTATTTTCTATTCTATTTTATACATCAAACAAGTTATCAATTAATTTAGTGATAGTGCAAGCTTTACTGTACATTCAGACCCAATTAAATCCTTGTGACGCTTTCCTCGCTGGGGGATTTGTGTGCAACGCAATAATGCAAATAAACACAACCTGAGATTACTACAGCTGTATGAACCCAAAGTAAACATTTTGCTGTTATTTAATTGCAATAAACGCATCAAAATGATGCAGAAATAACTACAACATGATGCTGATTTCAGGTCTGTCAGCAAGACGGCAGAACAACAACTTTTAAAATGTTTGTTTTCTGAATGGAGTTCGGCTCGATCGGGCCTGTGCTATGCTAACTTGTTCATTTACCCGTCTTGTGTCGCAGGTTTTTCCGTAGAGAACCGGAGAAAGACCTGCTGAGCCTGCACAGGCTGCGGCACCTGGAGCAGCTGGAGCTGCTGGTGGAGCGCTCGTTCATCCTGAGAGACTACCTGAACGGCCACCCCTGGCCCAGCCCCTGCGTGCGGGAGCTGATCAACCAGCTCCGAGAGCTGTCCGAGAACAGGATCACCGTCATCACCACGATGCGCCAGAGAAACCCGCTACGAGAGTGTGACTGCGTGTGGGAGGGAGACTAAAGACGGGGAGTAAAACCTTTTGGAAACTTCCTGAAGTAGAAAGACCGAGTCAACATCAGAGTCGGGAACAGAAGCACTGAATCAAAAAAAAACCTGAGACTACAGCTGTTATCAGGTGTCAAGACAGCCAAACAGGAGGCAACTGAAGGTGTGCGTATATATACATATGTGTGTGTGTATATATATATATATTTTAAGGGCAACTTTTTAGCTCCACACCCCTTGAAAATTACACACCAAGCGTGTTCTAGCAACCCCAGACTCCTTGGTGAATTTGAGTTGTGAGCAGTTTAGCTAAAGTAATCTGCCAATCTGTTCTATTAAGGAGAACAGACTAATCTAACGAACTGAATCTGTCCGATTTAAGGGCTTTTAATGTGAAGCATCTGCAGGAAATGTTGAGTTAGACCGATGTTAGCTTGGCAACAATCCAAAAAACATTTAATTAATTGGTGAATTAAACTAGAAATCATGTTTTTAAAAAGAGTAAAAAAGTGGGGAATTTTACATTTAGTGCTGTGAAAATGCACATTATTTATTATGAGGGCAGATAAACGTGGAGTTTGTGTTAAGCAGGAAATTGTAGCATTTAGAAATACAAGTCTCTAATATAAGCCGGTCTCAGATAAAGGCCGGGGATTAGTGCACTATTGTTAAATTAAAACCAGTAAGACTTGAGCCAGTTGTCAGGAGATCAGGGTAGCCTTTCTTATGTTTTTTTTAACTTTATGACGCAGCACTTTAAGGCTGCAGCTCCTCTCGTCGACACTTTATTGAGTTTCATTAGTTTCTCGATGTTTAAAGCTAAAACTCTCACTTGTGTTCATTGTTAAAACACGAGATATATATGCAGATTCTTTGGCTCCAAACATCGGTTTCAAACAGAAAAATCCATCAACTTCATCCCAGAAAATGACAGTTTCTAAATGCTGCAGCTAGCGATTATTTTCATTATCTGTAAATCTACCAGTTGTTTTCTGTATTAATCTCGTGGTCTCGTAACAGTGTCAGATTTCCTAAAGCCACAGTCGTTGTCTTTAGATATCTTCTTTTGTTTAACCACCAATCCAAAACATATTCAGTTTACTATGATGTAAAGATGAAGGAAAGCAGCAAATGTTTGCAGTCTTTCAAGAACATTTTTGTTTTCATTTGAAGCATTAAAATGGAAAGGAAAAGGAAAGTCAGGACAAGAAGCGATTTCAGTGTTTACTTTAAATGACGCTAATGATTAATATTCTGGTTTAAATGTTTTGCTCCAGACCGGTTATAGTTTTTGAAACTGGACCTGAAAGCTGGAGTTTATTTATTTATTTTTTACATATACTAAATAAACGTCTGTTACGTCCAAGCCCTCGCCAAAACGAGTTCACACAATGCTGGTTAAGCCTCTCACCGCCAGGTAAATGTAAATGGCCGACGCCCCTTAAGCCCCGTGGGACATTATTATGTTTGTCAATTTAAAAGATAATTGAAGAAAGTCGCAGTTTATCGTAAAATAGTAAAGTAACATTTAGTTTTGTGTGAAAACGCTCGATGACCTAAATTTCTCTCTGTTAGCGCTGTAATGCTAAGCTATCGTTCATTGCTTTGCTTGCTACTAGCTAGGTAACTTAGCTATGTTCCACACACCTGATGATGTGTTTAATCCTGGTCCTTTCATCACATCTTCTCAACATGGAAGCTGCAACAATAAATCAATAATTGTTGTCAACTATTAAATTAAACGCCAACAATGTTGATAATTGATTAATCGGTGAAAGTAATTTTTCACCAGATTCTTAAATGTCAATATCTTCTGGTTTCTTTACTCATCTATGACAAAACAGGACACTTGAGGACACTGATAGACATTTTTCAACATTTTCTTACTATAGAGCAAACAACTAATCGATTTAACGAGAAAATAATCAATCAAAACATGAAGTTAGCTCCAGTCATTGAAACATTTTGGTTTGTTCTTTGTAATTACGTATTTTCAGCAGTCTTGTACTTCGACATATTTACGACAAACTGCGAATTTCTTGACTTAAATTATCTTTTAAATTGACAAACATCGTATGTGTAGTTCGGGGCAAAACTAAAATGGGATCAAAACATTACTTAACTCTCATCGCTGACTACCGTACGTATTTTTTCCAAAATATGGTCCCATGGCGGTCCGCCGGAAGGGGAGGGACTCACGCTCTCTATATGTCATAAGCACGTGTCCACAGTGTTGTGTAATTACTCTCCATGCCAGAAGGGGGAGACAAAAGCTACAAACTGCAGGTTTAACAGCCAACATTTGTGTATTTTGAGATGTAGAGAAAGAATTTTTCTTCTTTTCCGTCAGCGAACGCACTGCACTTTGTTTGTTTCTCAACAAAGCAAATTTAAATTTGCTTTGTTTGTTGCTGACATGTTATTTAATGTCTTTAAGAGTAGTGTCATTTTCAAACACACATGAAATTAGCTGCAGCTTTAAAATTATGCCGTGCTGGAAGACTTGAAAGAGTGATTGTTTTTTTGTGGATGGTATTTTCTTATTTGAAGTTATCATTTAATCTTAAAAAAAGTGTGTATAATTTACAACGTGAATTAAAAGAGAATAAATTCTTTAATTTCATCCTTTTTCTGCTACGTTTCCTTTTTGTCGCTTTGCTTCCTTCTTCTGTTTTATATAATTTTATCAACCAAGTTCATTTTCATGTAGAAGTTTTGTTTAGCTCGACCAAACCATCTCTGAAAAATCTGATTTCCGTTCTGAAGGCTTGTGTGAGGCACCGAGCTGGAGTCTTAAAATAATATGCAACTAAAGTTCTTGGCCCATAAATCAGATCAACTACACTCGGGCGATAATAACTTTACATAAACTGAACGTCTTCTTCTTTTTGGGTTTGAACAGCAGTGTATTAGCTGCATTACCGCCACCTCCTGCTTCTAAGTGCAGAGACCAGAGATTAGATCCAACAACTGGTCTTGTTTGCCTGCTAGTACCAAAAAACAAAAATACTCTTAAGCAGAGGTTGTCAAAGTGGGAGGCGGGCCTCCCCAAGGGGGGGCTCTGACCAGTTTCAGGGGACGCTTGGTGAATGGAAGTTATCAAAAAGAGATCACAAAGAATACATGTGTGTAAATTTGGCTACAGAGATCGTTCAGTAGTTTTGCAGAATTTTACCCACACGTTTTTCCCACTTTCCCACAGTCAGATTCAAATGAATGCCTTAGGAAAGACCTTTTTTTTTTAAAATACCGTATATTGTTAAGTCAGACAGCAATATTAGGAGACCTTGCCTCAACTGTTCAGTGTCTATGGATCAATTAAAATAATCATGATCTAATAGGGATCCAGGAACTAAGCAAGTAAACTGTTGGGGTGCCTTTTTCCAAGTTAGTTCCAAGTTGAGGCCCAAAGTCTCAGACTTTAAAAACACTGCTCTAAAAAAAAAAAACTACATCTATAAACTAGAAATCCCAGCCTCCCCCGTGATATGGCAGACACTTGGTACAGTCTGATGCAGTCCTGTATTTAACTGCTCTGCTTCAAGGCTGCGTTCCAAACTGCTTGAAACTTCCAAGTTGAAATTTATGACTTCCGACCTCAAAGCGTTCCATGATGGTGCATGTCGCTGAACGTGATCAAAAAACATGGCTGAAGTTTGTCACAGTCAAATTGAACCCTCAGTGGTGCCCTTGGTGTTAATTAAAAAGAGCTGTTTTAAAGGAGACCTATTATGCTTTTCCACATTTTATGACTTATCTACGATGTTATAATGATGGATGTTCATGTTAAACATGGTCAAAGCTTTAAAAAATTATGTTAAAGTATTTAAAAGAAATCCCTGTGAGCAAAAAAACCTCAGATTTATATGGTAATTTATTCCCATAGCAACGGCATGGCAACACTCAGCTTGTGCTACCCAGCGACAACAACAGCCTGGTAACATGCTTCAGGTCTTGGCCAATCAGAAGACAGTGGGCTTCCAGAGGGGGGGCCTTAAAGAGACAGGAGCATCTACAGCTTGTTTCACACAGAGGCTGAAATGAAGGCCTACATGAAGAGTCAGTATAAGAAATAAAAACATTTTTTTGAACTTTGAATCATGCAAAGCTGCCGTACAGGAGTCACAGAACTATAATATAGGTCTGGAAAGCAGTTTAATAGGTCTCCTTTAATAAAAAGAAGTGACATACTTGTTAACTGTGTACCCGTCTTAACTACATCAGTTGGTAATAAGTCAGTAAATGTTGTGTGCTATATTTCCAAATGTTTTCATATTTTTTGGCCCTTTTAAAGTTTTCCTGAATAAACTTTGTGCAGTGATGACTTTCAGAGATTGTTTACTGTAACCTGATAAAATATATCTACATCAATTTACATGCAGAACAGGTTTTACTTAAGATAGCATGCGTTATTTTTATTAAACACAGGCAAATATATTTTGCTTGCTAAGCAATTTAACTTCACTTTGCTGATGAACTCATATCACGGAGGTACTTGTGTGACAAAAGATTCATAAGAGTACAAACAAAACAATGTAGTTATTAAATACTCAAACGAATGCCAATGTACACTTTTTCACTTTTCTTTTTTACAATTTACAAGTTATTTAATATCAAGATTTATTTTCTATACTATACAGAATAAACAATATGAACAAAAGATAATGTCCTCACAACGATCAGAATATACTGGCATGTTTTTATAGCTGTCAACAAAATCAGTGATGATGTGTCTCACTTAGAGTATGTGGATGTGTGATAGTATATATTCTATATTTTTCTTCTCCTCAACAAATCCACAATAACTGAATCCGGAGTCCTGTGTGTGTCTCACAGCCTGATGTCTCGTCTTCCTCCATTGTTGTCCAGAAACTATTAAAAACCCATCAGTGAGCCTCACTGCTGCACTGGGTCACATGTTCCTTCATCACCACGAACACACACTGTAGTTTATTCTGACTCAGTCCCACGTACACCGTCCTGCTGCCCTGAAAACTCACTACAGCACATGTGGATTTATCCGCCGCTGAAAATAGTCCCCCAAAACTGCACTATTTCCTCCTGTTTGTTTCATAAAAGCCAGCAGCTGTTTTAGGAAACTACTGAGCCTTTTTTTAAAACTATTTATCTGTGAGTTATTTTTTAAAGATTTACATCTTCAGAAGGAACCAATGAGTTTGGAGCTGAAAGCCACAGACAGGAAGTCACAAAGCACTGAGACACACTGTCATATCGTTGGTTTTGGTCTTTTTATGGGATTTGTTGACTATAAGAAAAATATAGAATAACACCAAATTTATCGTTCAGGTGCAGCAAATGAGCGTTTCTGTACATATTTTGGAGACGCTGATGAAAACAGTAATGCTTTTACGTTAATTAATAAAATCAATAATTCTTGAGAAAAGGCAGACTTGACACAGAAAAACAAAAATCTGTTGGAACAGCACTTGGGAGGAAAAAAAAATGTTCACTTGCAAATTTACTGACCGAACTTGGTCAGACGTCGAGTTGGAAAGAGTTTAGTATGTGAGGATGAAGATGAGACTAGGAAACCAGTACCAGAAGCACTACTCAGCCACTTTCCCCAGGGGACCAGGAACCCTTTGTGAAACTGGACCTGCATTTGGTCCTAAACTTCAGCTGAGTTCAAGGTGTAGTCCCTGCTCCGGGGTCAGAACTCGTCAACGAACCGTCAGGCCAGAGGTTGCAGGGCTGAAACACAGACTGTGGATAGCTTCGTTCACAAATCAAGGAGGTAACTCTACTATCTTAATTTGGATGACATTTCTTGTTGTTTGCAAATACTGAAAAAGAAGTTGGCCTTTGTTGTCGGCTTCCTGATTAGCTAGCGAGGGACTAAAAGAGGGATTTGTTGATGGATTCATTTCACTATGTTCAAAAGCAGAAATAAATAACCATCAGTCAGCAGATGGTTGACAAAGAAACGTCGTTTCCTCCCCTGAAAGCTGCCTTTCAAATGTCGCTGTCCTTTTTTAAAATCGTTTTCATCAATCTGCTTTGCCTAATCTTTAAACTTCTTCAGATGCTGTTGAATTGGAAACAGAAATGCACAACAGATTATTAGTTTCTGAGTTGACTTCCTCTGGTTCCTTTGATCGATCCGGGGAGAGGTTTCCCATAATAGCGTAAATGTAAATCCATCTGCGGGAGTTTTCTCGTCGCACCACACTGTTCAGGTCAGAACTCCAGCAGGAGCGTCAGCGGCTCCGGAGAGTTCAGGACGATCTCTTGTTTCTGTCCGTAGACTCCCTGCTCCACCTTCACGCCTGCCTTCGTGCACTTCACCGAGCCCGACATGAGCTCCCTGCACGCGGACACCAGGTTTGAGAAGAGCTGGGCGCCCCACCACAGCTCACAACCCCCCTTGTACTGCACCCTTCTCTTGGGCAACGGCTTCCCGAGCAGGGAGTCCTGGGGGATAAATAAAACGCTGCCGGGAAGGTCGAGAACGGAAACTGTGTGCCCGGTGTCTTTTCGGAAAAGTTTGGTGGTCATCAGACTTCTGGCTGTTGAGGATCACAGAAAAAGACAAAGAGGCTGGATTTATTCTGATACTTGGTCTAAATGCTACATGGTGCTTCACACAGATTAAGTTTAGATTAATTTATGAAGAGTTAAATGAGGAAATATATTCACCAAGTACAACAGATTCTCAGAAATGCGATATGGTAGCAGTACGCAGAAAGATAAATGAAGTTCACATCACCAGCCGAGAAAATTAATTTAGGCATTACCTTCCTAATATTCTTCATGCTAAATTTAACAGATTTTGTGATAGTGAAAGCTAATTTCTTGCCCACTACAAACGTAGAAAAGACGCTGCTGAACCTAAGATCTTAATTTTTATTTTTTATTGTATTTAAAATAAGGAGCATCTCCTGCAGCAACGCGAGAACACGCTAACTGTCCTTTACTAAATCACATCTAAATATCACTTTGCATACATGCATTACTTGGCAATTATTAAGAGTGTGCAGTGACACCTGCACAGTTGCTTCACAACGAAATAAACAATAGAGCATAATTGTTAACGATAGACGTTTTTCTATCAGCCCTACTCCCGCACACGGTTTAATGCGAGCATGTGAAACAGTCTCATAATTAATTTGATAATAAGGATACAGGGCTCGACAATAAAACGTGGCCCGACGGCCTGGGCCAGTAAAAAATAATGTCAGGACTTTTGAACTTGCACCATCTACAGTTGTTTTGCAGCTCTTGGTGCACACGGTTGGCCAATTCAGATTTGTAGTTACGGGACGAGTGGTTGAAGAAGCACCATGGTTCTTCAACACAGCATGGTGCTAATTTAGTAAATTATGGTCCTATTTAGAGGAAAATAGACCAGAAAGCTGCGTTGGTTGCGACAGCGTTGTGTTGGACATATTTGTGCAGCCGTGTTTATGAGGGAGAGAGAGCGAGAGAGTGACGAGCGAGAGGATGTGCTATGTGAGTGTGCTACGTCGCACTGCAAATCAAATACGATTTTAAACAGGCCTACTACAAAAAAAAAAAACGATAATTAATGTGCCGGTCAGCGTTGATATTGTAGTGGGCCGCCACAAATAAATGAACGTATGGGAAACACTGCTGTTAGTATGTTTTCTTTTAAAATTAAACTTTTTACATAATTTAATTTTACATTTTAGTTTATTTTTTAATATCCAGGATGTATTTAATAAACGATTAAACATGTTAACAGTATAACATAACTGACAAGTCTTTGGTTTTGTTGTAACGCTAATAAATAACTTTTGGAGGGAGAGTCAGTAAAAATTGTCTTTGTTTCAAACCCACTGGCCCAGTTGCAAACAAGTTTAATGTTGAGCCCTGGGATAAAACAAAATTGACCCAATGTGTAGATCCAACACACAACCCTTAGATTGATTGTGTTGTACTCCCTGCCCACCACTTTTAAAGCTCCCCCAAACAAGCATGGCCCGATACCAAAATTACTTGCTGACCCCTGTACAAGTATGACTATTGTTTCATTATCTTGAGAAAATGATCCTGTTATTACGGAAAAACAATAAAATGTTTAAATTTTTGGCCACTTAGGGCTTCCATAAAAATCACAACAGAATCATTCAAATATGTTTTTTAATGAAAATGAAAATAGTTATGTAAAGATGGGTGGTGGTGGCACAATGGATAAGACGCATGCCTTTGGTGTGAGAGACCCTCTGACATGTATAGCACTTTGGATAAAAGCGTCAGCTAAATGAATAAAATGTAAAGATTATCACACCCTTTGATACGGAAAATCGTGCTGCAATATCAGTCAAAATAATCGCAATTAGATATTCTTTCAAAATCGTTCAGCCGTACGTCTTACCCATCTCATAAGTGACGTCCTCAGTGGCTCCGTGGAAGAAGCACACATACACAACCAGCCCCTCCTGGATCTGACGACAGAGACACAGTAAATATCTGTGTGCATCATGTACAGCTTTTTCATACAACTAACTAAAGACATGGCGTTAACAATTAACGTGATGGCAGCTAGCGCGACGTAAATGATTACGTTAATCGACCACCACAAGTTTGGTAAGTAAACAAACGCTCATTCATCTTTTCATAACAAACTATTCGTACAAACTGTTTTGAGTTCAGCGCTTCCTTGTTTGGATCTTGTTGTCTGAAGTTTTAAAAGCCAAAGTTTAAGATGAATGGCTCAGCAGCTGCCGGCGTTTGTTGTCCTCTCTTACGTGCTGCAGCAGCTGATACTACGTGTTACGTAGGCAGGTTATAGGTAACGCAGGGAGGAGAAAACAGCACGCTCATCAGACGTTTCCTAAAAATAAACATTGTTCACGAGTCCCGAAGACTTTCGAGGACGAGTCTCAAGTCGAGTCTGCAGACACTGTGTGTGCGGCTTAAGTCGGACTCGAATCCGAGTCTCTAACTCGAGTCCCCATCTCTGTCATGCTCTCTATGCGTTTCTATTTTTAGTCAGCCACTGCCATCACTGTATGAATGTTACATGAGATTCACAACTTTCCCAACATCTGTCATATATATATATTTTAAATTTGTAATGCACTATATTTAAGCAAATCTCAAAGTACGACATGATAAAACAGGTAAGTGCGAGGTGCAAGGTGCTAACTGCACATGAGAAAGAAACTAATCATTCAGGAGTTTTGCATGTTAGTTGGCTAAAATACTCATGTTAGCATGGCGTTCGCTAAGTATTGTCAAAAGCATTTAGCATTTAAAATATGGCACGGGCCGGCTGGTGGTCTGCTCCACTCCTTAACCACAACCTCTCCAGCCAGGGGTCCTCATTTACTTTTCCCATCTCTACCATCACTATCAAATAAAGGTCATGTAAATGCCAAAGTTATTATAATCCAACCTGAGGAGCCAAACTTATCATCCACCCAGCAGATGCTGAAATATTTGAGCTAGTTTATAGGCAACTCAGATGCTAAGATGTGAAATCTCATGTTTTAAATCTATTTAAGACAAATGAACAAAAGAACGAACGGATAAAGAAACACACCCACCTCAGCCCACTGAGCGTCGGCCCCATCCAGGGCCGGTTTTGTCTTAACCTTCGCATTACTGCACTGCTGGATCACCGTCCGGGCCTCTAGTCTCCTGGGCCTCCGAAAGGGGGCGGGGCTGATCTCACCCACATATAGAGTTGTCAATACATGTGCAGTGTAACTACTACAACTACGTCTAAGACACATTCCTTAAGTAAACAGTTTTAAATAAAGATGGTTAAAAGAACTCAGGGTCACTTGGACTGCATGTCCTACCTGTCCACCTCAGGGGGGGGTTTGGCTGTTTGTTCAGGGGCCGACCCAGCGATGGTGAAGACGGGCCACGGTTTGGTGCTCGGGGCCACCACAGGCTCCAGGCCACAGCTGGAGCTCTTCTTAGCCGACGAGCCTGCCTCCAGGCCTCGCTTCCTCTTCGCCGGGCGCTGGACGCTGCCACGGCCACGGGTCGTTAAGGTTATTACGGTCTGGGTCTTTAGCCCTCTGCTTTGACTCGGAGGTTGATTTTTTTTGCTTGTGGCTTGTGGAAGTTTGGGTTTTGATGGGGGTTTAGGTGGAGGATGTGAGTCTGCGAGAGGTCTGGTTACGTCCTGGTCTGTGACTTGGTGATTTGTTGCAGAGTTGCCCTGAGAGCCACTTGTTTTTTTCTGGTCCTGATGTTGCGTTTGCTCCTCCAACTGAGGTTCTACATGAGCCTGGTTCTCAGGCTGAACGTCAGCGCTGTTTGTCTCCGTCTGGACTTCAGACTGTGACGTGGTCCCTTTCTGGACAGACCAGACTCTGGCGACAAAGGCGGCGTTAGGAGTCCTTGGCTGGAGGATTATGGGCGTTCTGGGCTGGATGTTGATGGGAGTTCTAAGGTGAAGTAGGATGGGAATTCTGGGGTGAGTGTTGATTGGAGGCTGGGGGGACAAAGGGTTCGCCTAGGATTGAGAGAGACAGGAAGTGAGTAAACGGACAACTGAAGTTTTCAGGTAGTCACTTTGTTTAAGTCTGTGAAGTGAACCGGATCTTTCCCAATGATGGAAGAGTGTTCAGAGGTAGCTTAGCATTTTTTAGCGTTCTTAAAATTACAATTGTGAATTTCATGAAATCAATATTTTACTTTTTATCCCTCTACATTTACTGTACTGTACTGTGCAGGTGTGGAAACATGATATATTTAACATGATGTGCTTATATTATACACAGTCCTATACTACTGATCTACCCAGTAGCATGTAAAGTATCAAAAAAAAATTAAAATGCTGTGGATTGATTGCAATTAGGGATGCACCGAATGTTCGGCCACTGAAATTAATCGGAATGAGAAAGACGCAAAAATGGCCGTTTGCAGATGCCGTTCTGCTAAATCGTCTCCGAGCACATCCGCTCCATCTGTGGCTGACCTCTTAGAAAAGGCAACAAACGGTCTGACCCGCTTTGAGTGTTTCTGTCACTCGTTTCTGAGAAGGCGATTAAGATAGCCGCACCTAAATTTGGAGTGCACACGTATTAAAGCCTTTATGGTAAATCCATTGAAGCGGCCCAGAGCGAGCTGACAGGCGGGTTAGAGACTTTATCCGGTCAGTTTGTCTCTTTACAAAGACAAGTGTTGCAGTATGAGAGTCCTGCCTGAAGAGAGGCTGTGAAGTCTTCATGTTACGCCGTACGAGAACCACATACAACATTATTTATCAAACTGGGTCAGACTGGATGGATTTAGCGCGAGGAGGAAACACATGTGTCAACGTCCGGTTTTCAAAATAAGGCGTATATACAGGATGGAAATAAGATTAACTGGATTATATTCACAGAAAGTATAAAACATTTTACATGTGTCCATTAAAAAGTAAATAGACGCATGTAATTTACTTTACTGGACCCTCTCGGGCGGGTGTCATTAAGTGAAAACCCCGTAGCCGCTGCTTGTCATGATAGAAACAGATTATCAGATTGTGAAGTTTATTGCAGCTTTAGTCCAACTCACTGGAGCAAATGTCTCGTGGCTGTTGTCAGGCTATTTTTCGTGACTTGTAACCAATCAGATGGAGGAATGGGGATTACCTACAGAGACAGAGAGGGAGCCTCAGGGCCAAAGTAGCATATTTTAAATTAAATTTAACCCTGACTAGGGCTGGACAATAAAACAATAACAATAATTATCGCAATATAATTTTTTTCAATAACAATATAACAAATGTTCAATAAATATTCAATAAATGTTTGACTTTATTCACTTGAATCATACACAAATTAGGACTTAATTTTTATTATTAAGATGTTTATTCTGAAAAAGGTTTTACTCAATTTTACTTATTATTTTGAATGTTCTAGTTGAAGAACTTTCACTCAGGAGTAAAAAATCAGCCTTAAAACTTGGCAGAAAATACTATTTGATACCTATCGTGATAATTATCGATATCGAAAGATATGAAACTTTTTATTGTGATAACATTTTTGGCCATATCGTCCAGCCCTGACAAAACTACGGATCGATCCAAACTGTGAGTTTTGTGATCCGTCGCATCACTAGTGAAGTATCGTTGATCATAAAAATATAAATAAGAAATAAGAAATATAAATCCCACGCATCCCCTCCCGCAAATCACACCCTGCTTACACTTAAATAACATTTTGAATTACTTCTTAACTATGGTATTTCTACTTTCACTTAGGATCCGAGTACTGCATCCACCGCTGACTAGATTATGTTTCATTGTACACAAGTATGATGACAATAAAGTGTAATCTGTCTTCCAGACACATTTACAGATTCCAGATAGAGTAGCAGTGTAGTGAAGTCTGTGGGTGTGTGAAACGTACCGCTCTGTCCTCTGAATTCGTTGCCGGCTGCCTCTCTTCATCACCAGCGCTCCCAACACCTTCATCGCCAACCCCACCACCGTGCTCGTCATCGTCGCTGTAACCATCGCCATCCTTATCACTGCTGTTAAGAGAGACAGAGAATAAGTAAGTAAATAAGTTCACTAATACTACAACTTTAAAAAAAATTACTTTCAGTCCCGCTTGACGATTGAAGCACAGTTTCTTCACCAAATTCAGAAATTTGTCCCTGAACTCAGCCTGTGACAGAAACCCACTCACCTGTCTAAACCATCAGGTATCTGCGGTGACGTCTGTGATTCTGATCCTCCTGGTTCTGGCTGGTTCTCTGGCTTCTTCCTCCTCTTGCTGCTGCACTGTGAGCAGCTGTTGATCCACTGCACCACATCCGCTCTCATGGTTTTCCAGGAGTATCTGTCAAGACGTCAGGAGCTGGGTATCAAGTAGGGGTGTGACGAGACACTTAACCCACGAGACGAGATTTCAACACTATTTTTAAGAAATCTTTAATGCTGAATTATATGAAAATTTTGAGCATTTAATACATTACTTCCTGCATTCTGATGATTTTCTGTACCAGTTTATGGTGATTTTTTATTTTATTTATGTAAAAAGAAACACAAAATTCAGGTGGCAGGAGACATTTCAAAAACTATAACAGAATCTAAGTCCGTGCAGCTCTCAGTCATTCTGTGCTGCTTTCAGATCTGTTTCTCCTGTAGATCAGCTTATTTAATAGTCATGATTTAATCTTCCCTCCTCTTTATGTCTTTTTTTGGGGAAGTAACCTTTTCACCTCAATAATAAATGATTAAATTTTAATTCAGTTAGAAATTCCTGGACTTTAACAGCTCCTGTGTTTCAGCAGATTTTCTGCTCATGTTCAAAACGTTCTGCACGTTCAGAATCTCTCCCACATTTCTGTGTTCTCTGACATGTCCAGAAAAAAGGCAGAATATTACCAGACTACTGTCATCGTTTGATGAGAAGTCCACCTGCCTTTTACTCTGCTGTGTGTTACGTTTTTGATCCTCTGGTAGTAACGCTGTCCCCTTCAGACCGTTTAACCGGCACAGTTTTAGCCTCTATGTTGCATGTGAAACTGAAACTGACTTCACCACAAATCCACACACACGTGAGTTTACTGGTTCTGTGAGTCTTTTCTATCAGTTGTGCATTTGTATTTCTCTGCGTGAGAAAATGAATGTGTGGCTTGACAGCATGTGAAAAAATGTAAATTGCTGGAGACAGATTTTTACCGGACAAGATCTCGTCACAATTTAAGCTCCTGAGATCTCGTGGCACAAGATCTCGTCACACCCCTAGTATTAATACAACAGCATGATATTGAATATTTGCACCTCTAAATTATGAAAAACAAACAAACTTGGAAACCTTATGAAACCAACATGATGCCAAAATTTGCCGCTATGTCTTTATTTTACTTTTTTCTTGAACACAAGTCATAAGAGTATCAGGATGGTTCAAAATTACTTGCTCTTACATCTATGGGTGCTTTCACACCTCTCTTAGTCCGGGCCAAGTGAAAAAAAAACACTGTTGCATTTTAGTTTTGGTCCGGTTCATGTTCACACTGCAGGTCTACAAACAAACCAAGAGAAGTAACCCATGACGTTACACAGACGTACAGGTAACTTGTTGATTGGACAGCTTTGGCGATTGCCATGCTGCATCATCAGGACCCACGTGGGGAAATCAAACTCCGATGACTGACAGACGTTTATGCAGCACTTTAACGCTTCTGATCTGTATCGCAAAGAGCTCACGGAGTACTAATTTATTATAAGCATGATTAGTAATGTTAGACCGCGGATCGATCACAGTCTATTGTGAATAAAAACGTAAAAACAGGACATGTAATACAGTAATAATTTGGGGCTTATTAGCCTATATTATACTGTGATATCGCTGTCACAAATGTTTTATGAACTTAATGAACTAACTAACTAACGGAGTACTACTGCCCCTGCTTCTGTAACAGATTTTAACCTATTAAATCAGGGGAAATACCCTCGCTGACAAGTATACGTTACCAAATGATTTTGAGACGGCGCCCTCGCTCAGCTTTCATTAAAACTAAAGTGATAAAACTGAAGTGATGATGTGTTCGGGTGCATCAGCCACCAGGTGTTCCAGGAGGTTTACTTTTGCAGGATCAATAAAGTTTCATCTAATCTCGACAAAGATAATTTATTAGATTCCCTCTCACCTTTCGTTGAGCAGTCTGAGACACTTGTTGACGTCGAGGTGGTTCAGCTCGTTGTGATAATCCACCAGCGCGGCTTCAACTTGTTGTCTGTTCCTCAGAACCAAACGCACCCGATCTCCTCTCACCATGTGGAGCTCGCCATCTGGGAAACCAGGGGACGCAAGTTGTCACGTTTATGGTTTCACGTGTCATTGTCATGACCATCTGACAGATTAGTTTGTACATTAGCACATCCTGAAGTTTGCTATGTTAAAGTCTGTTATAAATAAATTATACTTAACTGTAAATCACTTAATATGATTCAAAGCAGGAATGGACCTAGAGCTAGAAAGGTCTGAAATAAAATCCAAATGCACATTGATTTTAAAGCCATGTGTTTTAAAAATGAAGTATAAAAAGTATAAATTTTTTTTATTAAGATAAAGGACATAATATGTTTGCAATTACATATTAAGGACAATGTCAGACATTTTAAATATAATCGAGAATAAAAAACAATTTAAAGTTATAGGCTACCGCTGTATTTCTTTCATCTGACCGTTTGGGACAAAAGTAAAAATGCACTACTTCCATTCTTAGGCAAATAATACCGAAGTCGTTCCACATTTGTACAAAAACGCACCTGATATCGACAGAACACCCATGTGAGTTGTTAATCTGAAGAGTGTTCAAACGTCCCGGCTCTCCCCTACTTGGTACAAACGAGCTCCTGGAGGAGCTGACTGCCCTCTTAATTTATTCAAAAAGTGTACAAACCTTTAATGGCAAACTTCTTGCAGAACCTCCTGAAGGTGTTCTTCTCTACATAGCTCAGTCTAGGAGGATAGGTGCGTTTGCTCAGGTAGAGCTCCACAGCATCGTACTTGGCAAAATAGGCCTGCTCACACAAAAACAGTACAGTTAATTAATACGCATCGTCCAACTCCCAAGGGCCATGAATCATTTTGTGACCACCTAGGACATACCTCCTCCCCCACAGGAGGCTGGGTCGGACCTCTGGAAGGAGTCTGTGGAGGAAAGACACAACTCAAACTTCTGCTTTTAAAACAGTACAGTTGTACTGACTGCACTCCTGCTGCTGCTGCTGTCACTTTGCTTCTTCATCTGATGTACAGTAAGTAACTCCTGTGCCTTACCGCTGAGTCGCTGTGGACCAACAGCGTGGGAACGGCATCTGGACGGAGGGTGACTTTCTCCCCGCTGCGGTCGAAGCAGTCCTCGGTGAAATGGATCGAACAGACAGACGAACGGAGCCGAGGATGCCAGCTGGGACGACCCACAGCCTTCAGCCACTGAGCCCGCTGGGCCGTGTTGTGAAGAGGAAACCTGAACGTAATACAGTGACATAATTAAACCAGTGGAAGCCAAATTGTAGGATCCTTGTTGACTGGTTCAAAATGCAAAACCTGTTTGTCTTCAGTGAATAAAGAAAGTCAAATCTGTTTTGACCAGTTTGGTAGTGGTGGTTTGTTTTTGACGCAACATGTACATGTGAGCGGTAAACTGTGGCAATAATAACTTTATATTATCTTAACTGAATAATAATAAATCAAGATATCCAGTAGCTGTGTTTCCATCAACGGTTTTTTAAGCCCATTTTGAAGCATCGCATTAGAAAAGGTTGATGGAAATGGCAAAACCTTTGTGGAAAAAGAGTTAATGCGCTAAATGGGAGATGGAAACACTTTTGCCGAATAAGTTCTGACGTAGCGAACTTGTAACTCAAGTCTGATCAGCTGTTTCCCATAACGTGCGGAGACATGGCTGGCAGCAACTTGCCCGCTTGAAACACATTCCTGAGGTCCTCTCTCCATTTTCCTACGATCTGTGGCCCTCAGGTTCATTTTTTCTGCTTTGAAACCCCTTCGTCTTGTTTATCGCAGCCATGTCCAACTTCAACTACTGACGTAACTACGCTCGCCGTAGCCTGGTTTATTCGCTTCAAACCAGCTAATGGAAACGCACATATTTCGCAATTTACTATTTTTTTCCTTCTCTTTGCAACATTTTATTACAAGTCCGCTTAAAATTCACATGACAGTTGAATGGAAACATGGCTTGTGTTCACAAATTAAAAATTTAGCAAGGGTCAAATATTAAAAGTTCAAACTCTCTTGCTTATTTAAATTTTAAAGAATAGTTTATGTTTTAGTAAAAGTTTATGAGAAATTGCTAAAACAACAAACCTATTATAGTTTCATGTTTTATTTTCTTACTTTTTAATAATAATAAATTTTTATTTGTACTGCACTTCACATTTGAAGCAAATCTCAAAGTGCTACAGTTAAGTTCATAAAAGCAATGTAAAGACATCGATATAAAATACAAATAGATAATGCAACAGCTCGCAGGGTTAATTAAAACTCGTACGTTCGGCTAAAAAGAAATGTTTTTAGTCCTTTTTTAAAAGTCTCAGTAGTCTGAGGTGCCCTCTGATGGTCGGGGAGGGCATTTCAGATCCGAGGAGCATCAGATCAGAAAGCCGATCACCCGTGGCGCTGAGCTTAGTCCTGGGGGAAGGAGGCGGTTTGAGTTTGTTGAGCAAAGACAAACTTAAAGAATTAGATTTTGTAGAGTTTAGGTGTTTGGAGTGACCTGCATGAACATAATTGTATAATTGTTAAATACATGAAGTTGTTTGTTATATAATAGAATGGTCAATTTAAAGCAAACATGACTGGTTTAGATGTAGTTGAGAAGCGGCAAATAGTTAGCAATAGAGCTAATGCTAACAATTGATCTGAATTTAGTTTATACTGCATTTACAGTATATATATTTATAGACACAATATATAATTTAATATTCATTTCTACTGCCAGGTCAGGTTGGCATTTTGAAGCCCATGACGGCTGGCTGTAAACACCTCTTCTCGTAATCTATATGCTCAGTCAGATCCTGCGCACACCGACCTGTAGCCTATTTAAATTGGTGGACTTGACAAACTTGTTAAAGACAACTTGCAGCAGTTATTAAGAATGAAAATAATAATATTATAAAGAAAACTGAAATGAACACAGGAATAAATGTCAGAAAAGAGTATGCTTTTGATTTTAGCTCTGGGCTGTTTCTAATCGCAAAGTCAGTATTTAATCCGACTGTTTCTCTGTTATGAAAATATCAGCTAGTTAGCTATCGAACCACAGTATCTGCCGCTCCCTGCTCATCCTGCAGGGTAACTAGAAGACTCATACTTATGGAAGGTGAGGCCCAGGCCTCTCTCCACCGGCCCGCAGCAGTTGGTGCAGCCGGTGACGCTGCAGCGGAGCCACTTCCTCTTGGTTCTGTTGAGGCAGGTGTGGCAGCTGGAGATCCACTGCGCCAGGTCTCGGGTCATGGTGGACCAGTAGAAGCTCTTTGAGATCTCTCGCTGGCAGATTCCCTGGCCGTAGTGACCCTGGTTGTCATGGAACTGCTGCAGGATGGAGTTCACCTGGGATCAAAAGGCAGCGTTGGTACACACACACACTTGTTATTTGGATTAAACACTTTTGGGCTTTATAAATTAATAAAAGAAGTGGTAATTTATTACTTGTTTATTTAAAATGGTGCTGCATTTGACATTTTAATGAGTGAAGGATGCCATTTCCCCAAGAGTTAACAGTTATGCTGTTAAAATGTGACGACCAAACAGGTTTCTCCCTCCTTGTAGCTGCACTTGCAAATTTGTACTTTAACCTTCTACGGCCCGAGCAGACTGAAAGCGTTTTGCAGGTTTGAAAACGGGAAAAAAAACTCAGTTGAATTTGAATAAAGACCAGTTTCTTTTGTTTCTTTTTCCAGTCAGTCTAATCAAAGATTATGGCGCCAGCGCTCTGTAATCTTTGTTTTGCTGCTAAGTCATAACTGTCATATTTGCAGAAACCTGATCACAACTCACAGGTCTGAGTCTTTTGTTACTAAAAACATCTGCTTTAAAAAAAAATTTGACAATCTCTGGCACTGTTTGAGGGTGAGAGGTGAGCAAGGGAGATCCGGGTGGGCACATGAGACCCTCAGAAAGAGGAGACACCGCTGGTCGGACCACCAGCTGGTCCAGGAGCTTCGTCTTAATGATGGTCGGTTCAAGTCTTATTTTAAGATGAGTCGGGACAGTTTGTCACAGTCTCCGGACAATCCAAGCAACTGAAAACGTCCGCCACCACAACTGAGGGCCCGTCTCTCCATTCATTTGATTGGACAATAGAAAAAAAAAAAACACGAATGACGTCGGCTAGTGTTTTAGTACTCGAGACCGGTCTTGGTCTTGAGACTTAACACCACTTTTTGATGGTCTTAGTCTCGACCAAATTTGTACTCGGCCTCGTCTCGGTCTCGGACATTGAGGACTCGGGATTTTATTTCAAGACCAGTCAAGACCATAACTTTGGGAATATCAATAAATTGCTTTTGCATTATCTGATTTATTTGTTAACATCCTAACTTTGATTGGATGTAAAACTTATAGCTTCAAATGCAACCAGTAACCCTGATTACAAATGTGTGTTCCCGTTAACGACTGTCAGCCCTCCTGGCGATTGCAATGCTTACGTTGATTTCAGCTCTTAGTGTTTGTATGTGGGTGTTTTAATGGGAATGTGGATCTTTCAGATCAATCTGAGAAGTACCTGTGATCTCATTCCACATTTTATTGTGTGTCATGTAATGTGGGGAACTGGTCTTGGTCTTGACTTGGTCTCAGCCACTAAAAGTCTTGTCTCTGTCTCGATAAACTCTGGTCTTGGTCTTGACTTGGTCTCAGCCACTAAAAGTCTTGTCTCTGTCTCGATAAACTCTGGTCTTGGTCTTGACTTGGTCTCAGCCACTAAAAGTCTTGTCTCTGTCTCGATAAACTCTGGTCTTGGTCTTGACTCGGTCTCGGTTTGGGTAGTTTTGACTACAACACTAATGTCGGAACTTCTCTGCTCAGAGTTTTTTCCCACATTTTTGCACTCAGAGTCTCCTTCGAAGACGCAATGCGCAGCAGAACGCCAAAACGCGAGGAGCCCAGGACGCATAAACAGCCCACAAAACACTCACTGCCTGTAGAAAACAAATGAAAAAAAGCCTCACTGCAAAAAACGCATTCTGTCTGATTGGAGCCGTCCTCAATAAGTGGATTATGAAACTTTTAGACATTAATTTAGCTGCTGCTAGATATTCACCAAACGCAGCTTGATGGTATATTTGTTGGAAACATCGTGCTCACACAAATTTTAAGACGCTTGTACAGGATTCATTTCAACCTCATAACACACTGCGAGTAGCCTAAATCATGCAAACCTCCTCTCTGTTGCGCGGCACTCGGAGGGGAGGAGAGACTCGCGTGTACATCAGTACTCCGTCTGAAACACAATGAGATATGTTTTTATGAAGCTTGATTACATTAGATCATAATCCGGTTCAGGATTAAAGGAGATAAAATGAGTGGCGCTGTGTTTTATCACTCACCTATTAGGCCGAAGCGCTTGGCCATTCTTCTTAAAGACCCTCTGCTTTTCTTGCTTTGCATCGGTAAGACCTTGTGGCTCAGAAACCTGCAGACACGCGCTCAATTAAATTAAAAGAATTGTAAAGTGAAGCGCTCAGGGGGTCACGTGACTACCTGGCGATCTGGTTGTAAACTGCGAAGCTTGGCTCGATGACGGTCTTCCTCCTCTTTTCCTCCATCACTGTCGGGACCGCCCTCGCGTCAGGATCCGGAGCTGGGAGGGAGTACCGGTGTTCCTGCAGCCCCATGTGTGTTTCGGAGCTATCGAAGGCCGGGTCATAGGGGTTCACATCTGTGGTTTCTGCAGCTGTAGAGAGGAGGTCCTCCAGGCTGTTGGGATGAAGGAAGTCCTCATCTAAAGGGACAGCCTGCAAAACCAAGGAGACAGATGCAGGTACTATTTTACAGAGCCAAGTACAGAAAATGTCTGATAACTCGATCAGTTACGATTTACAAATCCTCTTGTTGTGTTTTCTGAATTTCACAATCCTCTCCTCTCAGCTTGATTTATTCCCTTAAAATAATACTGATACCACCTTGTTTTTCAAATAAACCAGCGTAATCTTGTTTTTATTTGTCCATGTCCTTTTGATAACTGTACTACAGTCCACTTGGATTAATATAGAAGTTTTATTATGATCTTGAGATGAGACACATGCATATATTTTGCCAGCAAATGGCAAAGCAAATACTGCCATCTGCTGGTTCCCTAGTGAATCCCTAGTCTGGTTTGACAGTAGTTTAAGTTTTGAGCAGCACACCTTGTGCAATCCTGTTTTTACCAGCTTATAAATATATCAAAAATACAATCAACGTTAACTTTTAAGGACACTGAGACCATTTTACACGCCTTTATATCATCTCGCCTGGATTACTGCAACAGCTTTTTACTTGCTTAAATCTATCGATCGACTCCAGACTGCAGATCTCCAGAACAAAGAAATATGACCAATCAGCCCTGTTTTAGCTTCATTACACTGGCTCTCAGTATGTTTTAGAGTAGACTTTAAAAGTATAGTGATTACTTTTAAAGCCCTTCATGGCTTCTCTCCCTGTTCTATCTACGACCTTTTAGTCCCATCCGCACCAGAACGTACCTTAAAGTCTTTATTTGAGTGGATGAAATAAGTAGTTTGAGGGAAATTGAGGGAATGAATTTAACAAAGAACATTTAAGGCAAAATATATTAATATATCAAAAATCGAGACTAGAGCGCACCAAAGTTTTTAGTATAGCATAAGCAAATATAACAAGAAGATCAGAGAAAAGAGATTTTGAGTTTTGCTGTTTTTATTTCCTGCCTATCTGCATCGTCTGCGCTCTTTGTCACCTCGTCCTCCTGCACTGTCACAGTGATGATGGAGGGTATGGCGTCTGGTGACAGCGTCAGCTGACCCTCCTCGTTCAGCGTGAAGCAGGACGGCTCAAAGTGTCTGGAGCAGAGGCAGGACTTTGTTCGCAGCGAGCCTTCGTCCCTTTGGGCCGCCACCAGCCACCTTCGCCGTTGCTCTGCCTCCTTCGGAAACCTGCAAGACGGAAGACGACAAGTTTTGTTTTCGAACCCGAGGCAAAGCTGAACAAAAGGAAAGACTGCCTGTGGAGTAACACGAGGTTTATTCTCATTACATACGTCCTGCCGACTTTTATAAAATACACATTTCTATTATTGTTATGCAGATGACACTCAGCTGTACCTTCCACTGAAACCTGGAAACCTGTCGAGTTTGAATGAAGTGTGTTCTACGATGAGTTAACAAGATAAATAGTTTGTGAAAGAGAGGAACTTGTATTCAGAAGGTGTACGGTTGTATTTTTCAGTTCGATGAGGAAAATAATGTGACATTTTTTTAGTTATTCTGTTTATCTATCAGAGTATAAGAAACTAAGAGAGCTTGTATAACGTAATGAGCTCGCACACATTTCCATCTGAAACTACTGGGGAAAGGCCTGAGCTGCACTACTGGCCTATCGCTCCTTGTACTACGTACTGCAGTACTTTGTACCATAGTATTATAGCAGTACCATATTAGTATTACGACCATAGACTGTAAAAAGGAGTGGACGTAGCCAACGTGTCACCCGTTGCTTTGTGGACTACTGTGTTGAAGCCTCCAGTTTCAAACTGGAGCCAGGTGTGACCATATTTGAACAAGAGGGTGGAGCAAACTCTACTTGGCAATAAAGCTCCTTCTGATTCTATTTCTGAGCAATCCATTTAATGGCGATGCACGATCTCAGGTCACTTTCTGGGGGTAAAATAAAGACCCTAGAACTAAATTTAGACCCTGGTCCCTTGTGAGTTTCCTCCAAAGGTTCCTAGTTCCGGGGTATAGTTCCTTTGGTCTAAACGCCACTTCTATACAATCACACTTCTCTTTGTCCAACCAGTGGACCTGCCCCCTGCTGGCTGTTAGAAAGAACGCCAGCTTAAGACACTTCCGCATTGGCTTCACCCATTCCCCCATTTAGATTACAACACAGGACGGGTTTGGGCTAACTGGTAGATATCTCTTCACATTCTGTTGAACATGTTAGTTTATTTTTTCTTAAAACTAAAATGGTAAATAAAAAACTATAATTCTGGCCAAGTCTGACAATGTAGAGCTGAATCTAAACATAAAACATTGTTTCATGTAATAATAACAGCCTTCACATCAAGAAAAACATTCTCTATTGTTGTTTTTAAACAACTTTGTAAATGCGGTGTCTGACCTGTGGAAGCTGAGCTCAGGGTTAACGTAGCTGGAGGCATCGCAGCCGTAGGCCAGGCAGAACTGGACAGGTGGTTCTGGTTTATCGACGGGACATCGGTTCTGACAAACCTCACAAGCTGTGATCCAGGTCTTCACCGCCTCCGTCACGCCAACCCAGTAATACATCATCTGGACAGACAGAGGAGGAAGAGTTGCCTCTAACACGGTGTGTGAATGTTCTGTTGTACAATAATATCACCCGGTCTCACCATTATCTCCTTTATCGTCCGGCTCCGGCCAGCGTGGTTGTTGTTGTCATGGTAACGGGTCAGGACCTCCCTCATTTCCTGGTCGCTCCTGACGACGCGGAGGAGGCGGCCTCGATATGAACGCCACAGGCAGCCATCTGGAGGACGGAGGCAGGAACTTAGGAGTCAACAACACAGGGGGGGGAACTAAAACGGCAGATTTATTCAAACCTGTCAACTATTTTCATTTTTTAGTTTTACTAAGTGAGGAGACACGCAACAGGTGAAACACATAAACAACATGTAGTGAAGTACCAAAACAAACAACAACAAAAACAAACAATTTTAGATACTGACATGTTGGACATTAAAGATGTTGAATGGCTACTTGTGTGTTTGAAAAGCATTAAAACAGCTGTACTGTGTTTTATTACTTTATCTTCACGTGATAAAAGGGGAGACGCTGGACTGTACATCGAGGGTTGAGGCTTTACCTGCTCTGCACTGAAAGAAAAAATCTCTCTCGGGCTCTTAAAATACCTTTATATATAAAGTGTTTGCTGGCAGCTCTGGTGACTTTCTTTGAACTCTTTGATGCATCTGCAGGAAACGTTCTTGTCAGCACAAACTGCTCCACCCTATTCAGCAAGTCAAAGGAAGGCATCTGTAAGGGAAGAGGAGAGAGATTTGAACTCTTGGACTCAAAAGCAAAATCAATCTAATGTTACAGAGATTAATCAGTTCATTCATAAACAGTATGTAAAAATAACTGCTAACAATTTTTGCATTAAATTAATTGTTTTATATATAGTTAGAAAGCTAAAGTTGTCTTGCAAATCACCAAATATGTTCATATTGATAACTCCTTGCGATATTTGATGGCAGTGCCGACAGCTTAAATTATCAAATTGATGATTTGTTAATTATTAAAAAAAATGCTAAACTTGTCAGTGTTGCTGCTAGTAAGTATATAATCCAACTTTAATCCAATTTTAGGCAAAATTCAAGACATCACTTAACGCCTTAACGTGACGAACATTTAGTCATTATTGTTGTAATGTGTAAAAAATAATCAACAGATTAATTGAAAGAATAAACAGCTAGCTAGATTGACTAATAATGAAAATAATCCCCACTATTATAAAGTCTCTGTGAAAGACACATGCACTTAGACTCTGATACGATAAAAATACCGTTTCCAAACAACAAATTATCACGAAAACACCTGAAGTTTCACAACTGAAAACAGTTTCCCACCTTAGAACATTTTGCGTCCGGTAAACACAAATCCTCGTTACACCGTCGCCCACTTTCAACAAAAAACTCAACTTTCAACGGGATATTTTTCGACTGAACTCTTCATAAACAACTTAATTTATTTTACTTCGTCTAAATGTACACACAAATGCTGTAAAGAAGTATATTTTAGCTCAAACTAACGGCTAAATGTGGCTCTAGGTGGTGTGCTCATTTAAGCTAGCAGCACCAACTTAGGACGTTCCGGTATGAGCATTTTCAAAATAAAGGTTTAAATTTAGCTCGTAACTTGAGGCGGCAAATATCAGATTCAGAATCAGAATACTTTATTGATCCTTGAGGGGAAATTCTTTGTTACAGATACTTGCGAGGCATAAAAGAGAATAGTAATAATAGTAAAAGTTGGTAAGTAGAGAACACAGAAAATCTAAGAATATAATAATAAATGACAATAAATATGGATATTTACAGTATCAACATAAGTGTAATGATAAATAGAAATATAGAGTTGTATTATGGTATTGTGATTCTTTGCACATCGTTAATTATGCTGCATTTTGCATTTTTTGTATTAACATTATGGTAGTATTGTATTATTTTGTAAAAACATTGTTACATCCCTTTACTTTTTCTATATTTATAATTCTATATTTATGTTCATGTGTAGTTAAGCATCAATACATACCAAGGCAAATGCCTCGAATGTGAACATGTACCTGGCAGTAGACCTCATTCTGATTAAGTGTAAGGATAAATAGCAGGAATGAATAAAGAGTGTTATAAAGATGTAATCATAGTGTTATGATAAAAATCCTTAACTGAATAACCCAAGTAATGAGAGCTACTGAGTTTAACTTAGTGCCATTTTGAAAGGAGTGAAGAGTTTGTCATCTTACCATCAACACAACAAAATATTTACAATAACATACTTTAAACAATTTTGTAAAAGCATTCATTTACAATTATTTTATTTTGGCGGTAAAATCCATTAAACGGAAGTGTGACTGCTGCCACTTGCTGCTCGCTTGACGGACGCAGGTTGTAAAAGCTGCTGTAACCCGAGTTTACTGAGTGCTGTTTATTTCCGCACCCTGAAAAACAGCTGAGCGCCGCCTGCTGGTCTGGAGGAGACAAGGTGGACAAAATAACAGAAACACTTTCACAAAAAATAGTGAAGACCATATTTCAAATATTTTTTTAAAGGTTGATGTGTTTTAATCCCTTGTTGAACAGTTTAACTATTTATATTTTCCTCATTCCTGTTGCTTGTGAAAACTTTTTTTTTTATCCCAAAAGATCATCTTGGTTGAATCAAAAGGTCTAAGTTTACTGAGTGCTGTTTATTTCTGCACCCTAAAAGGCTTTGTAAATTAGTGCTTTTACAAAATGTGCAACTACAAACAAAAACGCATACTAAATTTAAAGTATATTATATAAATATTTTGTTCATCAGTTTCAGTCATTATTGCTGTTAAATATCACAGTTTTGCAAATCTGGTCTCACATTAAACACCAAATACAGTATGTTGTATATAATGTTAAATATTTATCAACGTATGAATATATTTGAACATAAATAAGATATTTGCCCCCAAAAAAGTTAAAAACTACATTTTTACATTTACTCATTTGGCAGATGTTTTTATCTAAAGCAACTTACATTTGAGAGCAACATACAAGCATCAACAAAGCATCAATACAGTAAGAGAGCTACTCGCACATATGGCATCAGTGGGGTAAATAACTAGGGAAAGAAGTGAGAGATAACAAAATAGTGCAATCAATTCAAGAGCGAGCACAGGAAGTGGAGATTTAAACCTTTATTTTGAAAATAGTCATCTCGGAACGTACTAAGTTGGTGCTGTGCATTTTATTTTGCAAGCTTGTAACATTCTTGCAAGATGAAAAGACTTTATTATCAGGAGGACAGGCTGTGAACTTCATTTACCAAATACACCGAATGGCCAAGAATATGTGGACACAAGTGGTCGACCAATATGGGTTTTTCAAAGGCCGATAAAACTTTTTTGGTAATTTAGTTCAAAAAGTGAAACTTTCACATGTTTTAGATTCATTACATATAAAGTTAAATATTTCAGGCCTTTTTTTGTGTAACCACAGGCCACAGATTTCCTCCATGCCGCCCCGTTGATTAAGCACTTCATGCAAAAGACAAATCTTGTGTTGTTGTCATGCACATTTAAGAATACCGTTTTGTACTATATACACAAAACAAAAAAAGATTCCAAATTCAAAATTTTGTAATTTTGTTTTTATGATGAATGCATATAAATCAAATATCATTAGAATACATTAGTCTTAGAATTTCCAGGCTTGTTGGTAGATATTTAGACATTAATCAAGAGATCATTTCGACCTCCGTGACAGCATTAGACATGTGATTTAAAAGTTTTTATTCCTCCACCTTCCCTGCAGTTCAGAACTCCATCAGATGCGTGTAGGGTCCGTTGGTGTCGAGCTTCAGGACTTGTCTGTTTCCGTACGTCCCGTGTTTCACCGTCACTTCGGCCGAAGCAGCCGTCAGCTCCTTCTCACACAGGGAAACGAAGGCGCCGTAGAGCCGCAGCCCGTCCTCCTTGCCGATGTTGTTGTGGTACTGCATGGCCCTGCCTTTGGCCTTCCCGCCCAGCGTGGCCTGAGGGACGATCAGCAGGCTGCCGGGAAGCTCCAACACCGAAACCATCTTCCCCGAGTCGGACTCAGAGAGCCGCAGATTCAACAGTGTGGACACTGGACGGGAGAGAGGGGACGACACAGTGTTTACATCTCGAGGGGAGGCTTTTCAGGTCCAGGTTGCTTTATTTGTACCCATAGGTACATTTATTTTGCAGCGGGTGAGTCAGTAGATAAACTGTTCTCACTCCCAGTTTGTAACGCACTGGGGGAAGCCCTTGTAGTATCCAATATTTATGCATTTGACTCATAACAGTTCAAAATAGCACTGTAGCAGCAGGACAGAGGGTCAGTGACCTCCTAAGGGGAGAGCAGTGATTGGTGGTTATGTACGGACTGAACCCTTCTATAGAATTTGACCTCTAACCCCTTGTTTTGTTACCTCAGAATAGTACTGTACCCTTCTATATTTTATTTTACAGACTCAAACCCTTCTATGGTACCGAACAGATACCTAAACATATCCTATATAAGCTATGTTTGATGTACAGAAAGACAGAGTGGCCATCGGGCTGGGTCTCTCTCCAAGCTGCTGCAGAGCTTGTAATTGATGCTGAACTCCTTGATTTCATAAACATTTATGATCAAGAACAGTGTCAAGCGGGTTTCTTCTCAACACGTCGTCGCAGCATTATTGTTCGGACACCACACCCTTTAACGCCATTTATGAACGTTAAAGGTAGGTGTGGGATATTAAACAGCAAAGTCTGAGTAAGGAGGTGGTTTGACGTTTGGCCAGAAACAAAAAACTATTTTGACAAAAAGTCAACAATGAATGTTTTTATTTAAGTTACATAGGTTACGTAAGTTGTGTAATTTACGTATTTATTTTAAACCAAAATCTTTTCCTAAACCTAACCCAGAAGGTTTGGTGTCAAAACCTAACCAAATAGCGACGTTTCACAACGTTGACAAGTACTTTTATTTTGAAAATGTAACCAGGCGTTGCCTATTTCTTGTCGCTAACTTGACCGCGCTGGCCTAAATGTTAAAAAACAACGCTAAAGGGTGTTAAAAAGTGACGCCAAGGGGTTTTGACCAAGCGTCCATCTGTGACGTGTTGTAGATAAACATAATAAAAATAAATAAAAGCACTCAAGACTCCAATCATCACTAAATAAATAAACGTTGCATCTGTATCATCTGTGCATCTTGTTCTTCTGAGTGATGGCTGCTGGAACAAAAGCTGTTTTTATACAGTTTTGTTCTGCACTCTGCAACTATAAACCTTCGTCTAGAAGGGAGAAGCTGAAATTCACTGCAAAGGGGTTTGAGTCGTCATTTAAAACTCGAGCCAGTTATCCGTTGTTAACTCTCTGGTGCACAGGGGCTCACCAATCAGCCCACTAGACCATTTAACCATTTGGCTCAGAGAGTTTCTGTTCTTTAAGGGCAAGTTTCCAAACCATGATACCAAGGAAAAAGACATTATCGGTTCAATAAAAGGACGGTAAAAGATGTTCATCAGGCTTTTGTGACAGGGAAACAAGACTGTTTCCTCAAACAAAAGAAACACTGATGCCCCTTCTTTCACACGGCTTCACCATTTTCCTCAAAGTTCAGTTTGAGTCGATTTTCATCCCCAGATATTAGTTAAACTGATTCCACTGTCTGACCCGTAATGGAAGTTAGTTTTTGTGGGCATGTGTTCTAAAATCAAAGATCATGTCTTGTGTCTTTAAAGGCGTGGATGGCCGGGTCATGGCTGCAGCAGACTGACAATAACAGAGTTATCCCCAGACTTTAAGATCCGATTTTCACAACTCTTCCTACACATATTTGTGTTGAGGATAAATATGTAGGTCAAAAATGTCACTGACCCATTTTGGGGAGGATGTCGTCTGTGGCTCCTTTAAAGAAACAGATGTAGATCACCATTCCTCTGTCGATCTGCAAGCAGCAAAACAAGTCATCAGTGATGTGGACAAATAAGCAGCCGTAAATTACAAGTTCGGTGTAGGAGCTGCCCTGTGGTCTCATACTTTCATATCTCTTACTATTGTTATGCCGATGACACACAAGTGTGTCTCTCTTTTAAATCATCATACATATGCAGGTCATCTCAATTCATTCAATTCAAAAGCCTTCCGTCAATCTTACATTTGAAAACGAAGATCTCTGATCGTCTGATGCCTGAGCAAGGCAAGTTTATTTGTATAGCACAATTTAACAACAAGGTAATTCAAAGTGCTTAACATAAAACAAAAAAGCAACAGGGAAATATGTAAAAGTTTAAAAGCAACATAAAATAATACAAAAGTTACAGTGTTACAATCAGGGTTAAAAGAGTTAAATGGAAAATAATAAAAAGCTAAAAACAAAGAAAAAGAAAACAGGACAGTAAAAGTTACAGTGCAGTGTAAGTTATCAATATTTAATTAAAAGCAATGGTAAAAAGAAAAGTCTTCAGTCTTAATTTAAAAGAACTGAAAGTTGACATAAATAATAAATATAGAATAAACAGATGCAAAGTTATTCCAGTTCAGCATTTTATTTTAGTTAATGTGAGTTCTCAGAATTAGTT